GTATATGAGAGCCAGGCAGTGAGCACTGATTACTCGCACACAGAGGTCACGTTATAAGGTTAAATGGCCAAATTTTGCCATTTCATAAACCACAAAAAGAGACTGGTATGACAATTTATAATTATCTACGTCAAATTAGCAGGTCAAAAAATACACAAGACCTCAAAACCCTCTAAAAAGTTGTCGTCATCGTTTTTTTTAACTGTGACAACTATAACACTCTTGGTTTTTTGGTTTGCGTTTGAAATTGTGTTTTTTCTGAATGTATTATGGATTTCCTGGCTCTTAATTTAATGCATGAACTGGTCAACACAAAAGCATGGGTTGTGTTGCTGTGATCTGTCAACATGGAGAGCTTCAAAATGATAAATAATAGGTCAAGGGGCTGTTTCTGTGGAGAAACCCTGAGAACAGCAGACCCCCCCTCATCCCATGCCTTTTTCTCCCATTCACACCACCACGGGGGGAGCAGGTCGGGTTCAAGCGCAACAAATTACCTAAATATGGGCTGAAAAGGCTTTGAGAGACTTCAATACAACAGTTAAAAATAAAATTAATAAAAGGAGATTTAGGAAGCCAGGTGGATGGAACACAATGCTAAACTGCAGTCCATAATTTCAGCTAGCGAGGAGAAAAAGCGTCTCTTTCTTGGTCAGTATTTGTGTTTAGCCTGGGTAGAATAGGGGCACCTCCACACATAAAGGCGAGAGGAAAAAACACAGAAAAACGAAATTTTCAGCCTGAGTGGTTACTTCAAATGAAATCTAAAGGCTGATTCTCAATGGGCCCTTTTAGCGGAGGGGAGTGTTTTTTAAAAGAATCGCAGCAGTGGACGTGTTTGGCATTTGGTGGCCCTTGTCCTCCAATTGTGCGTACTCCACGGTGGCTGCCTTCTCTCTAGGCTCGCTACACTCCACAGACAGTACAGTCTGGGGCTCGAACATAGACAGAAATCATGTTTGACTTCCCTTTTGCTCAACCACATCTGTTCCCATGCCCCTGAAGGCACTTTGGTTGCGCAGCTACAAAGATGTGTACGCTGTAGTTAATGTGAGTGAGTGACAGCTCAATATGTTCCTTACATAAGTCTGAAAGTGCTGCTGACCTAGGCATGGCCTTGAACTTGATGCTCACCTACTATAAATGAGACTCTGGATTATGAACAAAAGAAAATAATCACACTAAAGCATACAGATGCTTTTTATTAAAAATTCTGAGACATCTCATAAAATTTTTTAAATTTAGGCTCTGTTCAAAACTCTAGTGAGTTTGGAACAGACATCACTGTTGTTAAAGAGATAGTTCCCTCAAAAATTATTTACTCACTAAACTGTATGAATTTGTTTCTTAAGTGGAACATAAAAAAGACATGTCTCGCTGTTTTTTTTTTTTGTCTATACAATGGAAGTTATGGTATATATGAGTGTATATGACTTTCATCTTTTAGTTGAACACAATCAGAGTTAAATTGGACTCCAATGTTGTTTGATCCCAATCTTCCACAAGAGACGAAAAAACTGCTCCCAGTACAGGTTTGGAATGATATTAGGGTGTGAAAAGGTGGAAAAAAAAAGTTTCATTTTGTACTATCCCTTTAAACTGTGTTGTTTATATCTGTCACCATCCGGCTAAAATTTGAATGCAGTGCTGGGAATAGCATATAAAACATTTTTATGCCTGATGTCCACTGCAGACATTGCAAACTACCAGTCTTAGCCTAATGGTTAGAGAGTCGGACTTGTAACCCAAAGGTTGCGAGTTTGATTCTCAATACCGGTAGGAAACGACTGAGGTGCCCTTGAGCAAAGCACCTAACCCCCAATTGCTCCACGGCTGCCCACTGCTCCGGGTGTGTGTGTCCACGGGTTGCAGTTTATTACTCACTGCTCCTAATGTATGTGGACTAACTTGGATGGGTTAAATACAGAGGACAAATTCTGAGTATGGGTTACCATACTTGGCCTTCCATCACTTCACTTCATAATGCCATGTTTGTTATTCCAAAGATGGTCGTCCTTCACAGATAAGGCAATTCTAAAATGCACTACGTCAAGCTCAAGGAAATTATTCATGGCCTGAAGGGCATTAATGTATAATATTTATTATTATAATATATACATTATTATTCTAAATGTAGAGACAAAATAGCTCAATCTAATTAAAAATTTACTATTTCACCCAATAGTTTGTCATGTATTTTTTTGTGCCCATTAAAAGTAAAGCATTGTTAGCTTATCAGATTAGCAACATCTACTGAACATCTACTACACTACTTAAACTATGTCTCACACATTTCACGTGAGGAGCGCTGTTTGTGTGGGGCACGCGAGTCACCATTAACCATTTCCTGGAACCATTAACGGAAATGATGCGGAAGCATTTCAAATCAGTCACTTTTATACATTTTCAATTTAAGTCAATTTAGAGGTTCCATTTCTGTTAGGATGAGGATTTAGAATGATGGGTGACCGTGAGACAGCTCACTAAAATTATGAATGTAATTTACGGTTGCTCATTTAGTTTAATGCTAATTAATTGACCTGTGCTTTGAAATGTTTGAAAGCCCAGAGAGGAGAGATAAAACGTGCAGCAGTAGCCCAGCATCCTGAGGGACTATGGGATCCAAAATTTGTTTGCGTTTAATTTCCACTTCACAGACAGCAGCACACATTAACAACCCTTGGGAAAGGTTGGAGAGCTGCCAGTGGGACAGAAGAAAAAGTAAGTACAGCATAGGGTCATCACAGCTCAATCAACAGTTCCTCCACAACTGCTTCTGAATGTCTGACAACTCCAGCATTAATTCCTCTCATGTCATTCTACTAGGCTCTAATTATATTTTGGGTTACAGCAGCTCTTACAGTCTCTACTGTCACTGTCAGAGGGGAACAATGGGCTTTTCGCTGGTGATATCTCATTGTCAACATGTCAGGATATTCTTAAAGCTGAACAGATTCTGTCGGAGACAGAGAGGAATTAACACCATTCAAAGCACTGACACAAGCTCCCTGCCTTGCCTTTTTAACAGTATACAAAACCATATACTAAGGTACTACGGATTACCACTTGGTCAGATATTGTACATTAAGCAGAACTATTTAAATGAGGTGTAAAATGAGGTGCCACTATCGTAATCAGTAAAAGTCATTTAGAGTGATGAGCAAACAAATGTGCCGGTCAAAATCTTTTTTCCCTTCTTAAGAGCCAACCAAACCTCTGTACTGAGTAAGTTTTAAGTCATATAAATCACTGACAGCCAAAAGCACATAAAAAAAAAGAGTTTGTGCCCAAAGAGTGTAAAAGCCAGAATGTAAACGCAAGTCTCTATGGGGTGCAGAGCAATTTAGCATTTGGAAGCTGTCAAATACATTATAAACATCTAAACAACAACCTTGAAAAACAAAATAAAATTATGATAAAATTAAGATTAGATTTAAGATTACATTTTTAAGATTAAGACTGTGATTATGCCACAAAAGCATATTCAATCAATAATCATCAGAATAATGAGAATCAAAATTTTGGAAACAAATCATACGTATTCCATCTGCAAGATGCCCATTTACAAAAATAAATACACTTGTTTATATGTACAAAATGTACAGGGCACAGTACAAGGCTACAGGACAGGACAATACAGTTATATGAACATAGAGAGACAAACAGGAGCCATACCATTACAATCACTACAACCAATCCCACAAGGGGAGGACAAGGGTGGGGACGGACCTCAAAGGTTTATTTGCTATAGGACCCCTACAACAGTTTCCCTAGCGTTTACAACCTCATATGGACTACCAAATCCATTCTATAACCATGTTCCAGTCATAAAAAACTTTTGAGACAGAATTTAGGTGGGATAATGTAAATTGTCCAATTGTGGAATATTGTTATCCTTATTTCTAAACTGTAATTATAATTAAACCTGAAAATGTACCAGTCATAATTCTCATTGTATGCTGTCACAGTACTAACTCATTTTAAGTATCACAGCTTTTACAAATGAAAAAAAAAATAGACTGGTTTAATGGAGAAACAGTGTCCTGACCAAAAGTCCAGCCCAGCAGCTGCTCCATGCAAACCACTGACACTTCACACAAACATATCACAAATAAGCACTCAGAAACACTAAAAATAACAAGAGTATGTCTTAAAATAAAAACAAAAACAGAAGTAGCAACTATAACTATAATCGCATCAAAAATCATTACAGTGTTGACATCTATTTACAAGACGTCATACATCCCTTACTTGTGTTATGGTGTTGCAGCTCTTTTTCCTCAGTTCGCAAACACTTTAACATTAGCTCACACTGCCAGATGTGTGTGCCTTCAGCACAGAAATGGTTAAAAAGCCATCAGGGTTTGGAAAGAATGTTATAGACCAAACTCAGAAGTCATATACAGTTTTAAATTCCTTTCATAATCATCAGGAAAATTTCTTTATTTAAATAAATAAATGGAAAAAAAATTACAACACACATTAGTCGTGAGGTTTCACGGAATGGCAAAACATTGTGAAAGTCCTGTTTTTCCTCCCTAAATTATACTAGATCAATTGTTAAATTTATCTTCATATTCTCCTGATCAAAAGTTAAAGATATCTGTCAGGACATTTCATACTACTCCTGTGAGTCTCTATCATGAAAGCTTTACGTAGAAAAACACTGTAAGTAGGTTTAAGCTCTAATAATTTTTTCTTAGATTAACTCTCTGAACCAATTCATTATTTTCTCTACACTGTGAGAAGAAAATTTTTAATTAAACCATAAAAAGAATGTAAGATATTTAGGACTGTGGCCTGATCTAAAATGCTTTGACCTGCTTGAGTACTAACTTTTAACAGAAAATATAAAAATGCCAGACATGTTACTAATAAAATAAAATTATAATACAAGAATAAAATAACTTTTACAAATATATATAACCTAAACATAGTTTTAACTCTGAGGGGGAGAAGAAAAATAACAAAGTGTAAAATTGCAAGTCAGAGTGACTCACCAATATGCCAGAAAATTGTTTTTCCGCCATGCTTTTGAAGCTCTCTTCTGCGTGGGTCCCCTTTCCAGAAGGATGCCCGTCCTGACCCGTCTCTGTGCTCTCTGGGAGTCGTCTTGAGCTGCTGGGGTATGCGTCTCAGTTTCTTGTGCGCACTGCTTCTCCCTCAATCGTTTCCTCTCTCTGCTAGTTCAGTCGGTTTGCAATGTTGGGCTGAGGTGGCGTCTCTGCTTTGTGCTAATTCTGCGTTAATCCAGGAACTTTTCTATGCTGTGAAAGGGACATGTGACAGGGAGAAGGAGGGAGGAAGAGGGGGGGAAAGCAACTATTAGCCCCCAAACGTGTTGTTCTCTCTTTAAAACAATCATTTCATAACTGCTGATAAGCCTCAGTAACACTGTCCATGTGCTGGGTGGAGTGTGTCAGACTACAAAGTCTGAAATTCTGATATTACAAGAAGTGATGTAGGGGATGCTTATATGATAAACTAAGATGAAAAGATTTACTTTTTTCAGTAAATAACCAAAACAAAGGGCTACTGTATCGATGGGTACAGAGCATAAGCTTGTACTGAGAATGCACAAACAACTAGAACATCTAGAAAATGACAATGATTGACCATGCCTACAAACAGGCACCATGAGGACTATATTGTAGATTGGTTAGACATTGAGACTACTTCCCACAATTATTCCATTTTACTACAAAAATTTTCAAAATACAGCAGATGAACACCTTGAATGAATGAATGAAATTTTAGATGTTGCACTAGTATTTACATAGTACAGTAATCCACAATTTAAAGGGTTAGTTCACCCAAAAATGACATTTCTGTCATTACTTACTCAGATATTTTTGATGAAATCCGAAAGGTCGACCTTTCAAGGCCCGGAAAGGTAGTAAAGACGTTAAAATAGTCCATGTGACTACAGTGGTTTAACCTTAATGTTATGAAGCGACGAGAATACTTTTTGTATACGCAAAAAAAACAAAAACAAAAATAACGACTTTATTCAACAACCTTCCTACGGTGTTCACATAGTAAACACAGTGCAGCACTTCCAGGTTCTACGTCATAACGCCGGCTCATTATTGGCCAGCTCCTGCATCAGCATCACATGCATGCGTCGTGGTGCTCACGTGAACCGAGTCGGCCAATAATGAGCTGGCATTCTGACGTAGAACCTGGAAGTGCTGCACTGCATTTACTATGTGAACAGCGTAGGAGAATGACGTTGAAGAGAAGAGATTTTTTCATAAAGGCGTTATTTTTGTTTATTTTTTGCATACAAAAAGTATTCTCGTCACTTCATAACATTAAGGTTGAACCACTGTAGTCACATGGACTATTTGAATGATGTCTTTACTAGCTTTCTGGGCCTTGAAAGTTGCAATGACGTTGCTGCCTATGGGTGGTTCAGAAACCTCTCGGATTTCATCAAAAATATCTTCATTTGTGTCCCGAAGATGAACGAAGGTCTTAGGGGTTTGGAACAACATGAGGGTGAGTAATTAATGACAGAATGTACATTTTTGGGTGAACTAACCCTTTAAAAATGAAATGTTTCTTGGCCTTCTTCACAATAACAGACTTACTGTCAGTTAAGGTAACATTAAGTCAAGTAGCTCTTCACCATTGTTGGGAGTAACACGTTACAAAAGTAATGCATTACAGTAACATATTACTTTTTGCCGTAACGCAGTAGTGTAAGGCATTACTAACAGTGTTGGGAGTAACGCGTTACAAAAGTAATGCATTACAGTAACATACTGTATTACTTTTTGCTGTAACACAGTAGTGTAAGGCATTACTAATCAATTTTCAGTAATATTTTACTCGGTACATGTTCAGCAACGGTTGCGTTACAACACACTTTTAGTTTTAATCGGAAAAAACAAAACAAAAAAAACCAGCAAGATCGCGGGACATTAACGAATGAAAAAATGCAAGTAAGTTATTACCTGTTCGTGGTCAGTCAATAGCCGCGTGTGGTGTCCAAGTTTGTAAATAAAGACTAAATGGCAACCTCTGATATATTTGTATAGCGATTTATTTCATTCATCTCCCTCTTGTTGGTTGTACCTTTGTATTGTGTGACATAGTCCAGTGAAGGCGTGTTTAGGGCAGGTTTTACAGGAGTGCCGCAAGGCATGATTTCAGCCTCTGTGCTCGCGCTGGCCAGTGGAAAAGCGGCTAATGGAAAAGCGGATAGAAGACTACATTCGCGAGATGGATGTATGCGCATTACTCTATTTGTTCTGTTTTCTTTCTAAGCAGTTAGGCTATGTTTAGTGTATTTTTCATGTTTTTCATCATGTTTTCATCACACAATCATGTTTTTGATGCGGTGGTGACGCATCCATGTAACATGTCCAGCCACCCGCGCTGCCGATAAAGCACCTAAAAGCTGTCACAAGGAACCGGCAAAAGCAATGATAATGAATATGTCAAATATAGCAAGGAGACATTTTAATTGTTCATTAATAAAGATGAAGTTGACGATGCTGACTCGCGATCTTCGCAGTAGGCTAGTGAATGCGCCAGAAAGAAATGCACATTTCATACGGATTACAGAGAGCTGTCTGTTTTCTTTCGTTTTGAATTGTTCTGTTTAAAAGTAAACATTTCAAGCTTTCTATAGATATATTTTTCAGGTAGGCCTATGTGAGAGGCAAGTAGGCTACCTTATTGAGAGTGAGGAGTCACGTGCCGATTTGGCGCCGGTCGGCCATGATGGTAGGAGACGCTATCGGTTGCCAGGGGCAACGCCTTCAGAACTTCACAGAGGCGCGACTAAACATTCCAGAAATAGGCTTTATGCCGAGTGTCACGTGACCAAACCGGAAAACGGGTCTCATTGCATCCGCTTGTCAGAGAAAGTGTTAACGGGCGTAAGAACTAACTACAATATCTATGGATTTTAAGGTAATCAGCTAACCTACTAAGTTCACTTTGTTATTGGTGTTTTATGCTATTTAAATATCTAAACGTTAGTGTAAAGAAGAAAAATTAAAAAACTTTTACATATCAATCTGCACATGCGAGGGACATTGGTTATGCTCATTTTTGCTTGCTCCTTTTAAGTTATCTTGAGTAAAACCGCAAAAATTCTCATGAAGCACATACAAAACACCTGAATCGGAAGCGATGTGATCTGTTTTCCGGCTTGGTCACGTGACGCTCGGCATAAAGCCTATAGCGAAAGAGAGACAGCGCAGCTTAGTATTTGTTTACATTTTAGCGATACGCCACAGTTTCTTTGGAAGATATGGAGAAGGAAGAGAAATGAAAGGGGTTCTATCGGGAGAGACTAAATAATAATGCTAGCCAGCTTTATTTAGAGAAACTGCTTGTCAATAAACTGACAGCAGCAACAGTGAGCAAAGCATGATTTCAAAAGCAACACATTTCAGCACAGTTCGCCTTTTATTTAACACAAACGAACGAAATTAATACTCTGTTATTCAACTAGAGTTGTTTAATTTGTTATAGATATATCTGTACCACGAAATGTTTTAAAAAGACACTTTTTTTAATGACGTACGACTCGCATTGACAGGGGAATGTCCGATCTGTCCGCTTAACGTTGCATGGCAGGTGCAAATGCACGTATCTGATTCATATCAGATTTATTTCCACATATGAATGATGCCTAAAACATCAGGTATGACTGAACTCTTGCAGTTTAACGTTACAGGTTTGGGGGTTTCTAAGTCTTGCACCCAGCCGCAGCAGAATTGTTCATAAGCTTCTGAACTCTTGCATTGTGTAGGCAGTAACGTTAGGCACTGATACCATAAACCAGGTAATTGACTATGTCAGGGTATGTGAAAGGTGGTAGTGCTTTGGGTCTTTCGTCCATTCTGTAGCAGGTCGTACGGGTCCATGTTGTTGATGTCAAGTAGGTTCTCTAAATAACGCTGCTTGGTGTTGTTATTTATTCTCTCCCGATAGAGCCCCTTTCCTTTTGCTTCCCCCTTCTTCATTTATTCCCAAGAAACTGTGCCTTATCGCAAAAATGCAAACAAATATCAAGCTGCTCTCTCTCTCTGTCGCTATTTCTCTCGGTCTCACTGTCGGAGTAACCATGACAACGGATAGTGTATCCTTCCAAGATGGCGACGCCTTCCCACAATGCAACGCGGAGTGAAACGTGTGACATCACATTCTCAGCCTAAGTCCCTCCCCTCCGCTTCCGGCTCATGGGACCTTATTTTGGAAAAAATATGTATGGTAGTCAATGGCGAGAGGCAACTTATCTTTTTATTCCGTCTAAACTGTGTCCTGAATTACACATATGATGTTTGTCAATTTAAAAGATAATTACGAAAGTCAAGAAAGTTGCAGTTTGTCATAAAACAGAAGAGTAACATTTAGTTTTGTGTGAAAATCGCTCAATGAACTACATCTCCCGGGAAGCGAAACAACGAGCAAGATCTGTTGCTCGTATGTGTGCAGTCTAGCCTGACTTCGTCATACTCATATTCTAGAAAGAATGTGAGTCTGATACTGCTCCATTGGGCTATGATTTGGGGGCGTGTTTCAACCGAACCAGGAAAGAAAATGCCTCTGCATTCAATTGGATAGACCTACAACCAATCAGAGCAACGGAGTAAATGATGCATGTTCTTCATTCATCTTTCCGACCGACAAATGCCTTGATCGCGGTTCTCTGTTCCACTTTTAAAAGCAATGCGCTGTCGATATCTTCTATAACAGACGCGATGGCGGAATCTACACGATTATTGTTATTTCATAAACAAAGTTCGGGAGGAGCACGTTCAAATAATCAATCCAATCAACTTGTCATCAAACAATACCATGTCTAACGTTACCCTATCAGCATGAGAGGAAGCATATTCACTCTAACTCCCCAAACACTCCTCGACAGTTTTTCTGCATCCCTCCACCACCCCGACTCCTCACGCTTGGCTTGTTCTTTCACAGCCAGGAATACGGGGGAGTAGGCCTACTCTGGGTTCGGGCCGAATACCGATCAAGGAGCCCTCTCCTCGGACAGCACGTCATATACGCATTTACTCTATCTGACTTATTTGTAAGTGTGAACTCGTGAAATCTCAATTCTCCAGCGGCAGAACTTTGTTGTAAACGAATTCAACCCAAGCGCTCTTTGGTAACGTGAGGATTACGTAACTGCACCTCATCTGTCAATCATCGTATAAAGCCCGCCCTGGCAATTTGATTGGTCCGAACATTTTTTGACTGATCATAATTACTCCTCAATGGATCAAGTCCAGACCGAACTTCC